GTTATGATTCATCCCATGTCTTTATTACTGCATGTTATAGACTCTCTAAAATTAGTATCTGAATGTTCTTCAGGAGTTATTGAAGGAGTGACTCAAGTTCCATCCTTGTGTCTTGCAAGCTGTCTTGATGTCATGTCAACTAAACAGCAGACAAAAATCATTTTGTAAATGGTTCTCTCTCATCTTATTTTTAATTCTCTGAAAACAAAAATTCCTTCACACCCAGGCACTAAGATCTTTCAATTTTTGAATATAAACAACAGTATGCAAAAAACAAATTTACAAGACAAAGATGTGGAGATTCATAAGCCCATATACATTACTACATATATACATTATTAACTTTGTAAAAATCATCCAAAAAAAAGTACCAGAAGTTTATCAAACCACAACATTACAGCTAGTTCAGATGGAAAACAGTAAACATATAGACAACCATATTCATTCTATGTGTTTTCCATTATGCCTCCTTCAACAAGGATTTGTCTATTTGCTTGCTGCAATTATTTTATATGAGAGCTACCTGGAAATGTGCCACCACAAAAGGCAAAAGATGTGCATTCAAGAATGGTTAGTTCCTTTTGTACAAATTATACTTATGGACATAAGTACAGAAATTTTCCCATTTTCATCCTGGAAGTCTAGTAATTTTAGGAAAAGCAATTGTTTTATTTCTGAAGCTCTGAAGATACTCTACTGGATGTCATTTTTATTGATTCATTCTTGTTAGAGGGGAGAGAGAAAAAAAAGAAAAATCCCCATTGTAGTAGAATGTATTCAAACTATTGCAATGCAGGAAAAATTCCAATTTTCATAAGAACAATAACAGAGGACCTTAGATTACTTTTCTTGTCTGGTATCTCATCTGAATTATGTCACAATTGGCCTTTTTAGTAACATTCAAGGATACATTCCACAGCTGTACAGATGGGAAAACTTTTTTATTAAGCAATTTCTTTGCTTATATATCTCTAATGAACAAAATTATATTTTATGAAGTAATAATGATAATAATTTCTATTTTATGAGCTTGATAGAGAAAAAAAATTTAAAACCACTATGTTTTAGTTTAAATCCTCAGAGGGAAGATAGACTTCTGCTAGAAGTGGGTAAGTAGTAAAAGTGCCTGTAAAAGTAATAGGAAAGAGACTTGTACCCTTATGACAGCATTATAAAAGCCTTGAAACAGTAAAACATAAACATACTAAAGTTTGGTGCACATTGCAATGCATTTAGAGAGTCATTTTTATCAGGAAAATTGTGAGGAAAGTATCAAAGTAATTGAACATATCTCCAAATTCAATCCTGTTGCGAAGCACCATCCTTTAATACCATGTATATGGAAATTTCCAATTCTCCCAATACACAGAAAATGAACAATTTATTAACAGCAGGTGTGTTCTTCCTGTTCCTAGACTGAAAAGCAGAAAGTCTATAGTGAGCAATCAAACTCTTACCAATACTTCTGACAGAGGTCAATGACAAGATTTGCTTCAAAAAGCATTTAATCTTCACAAAAGTCATAAAACTCCCATCATGCTTGAAGGTGACTGTTTTTTATTTGAATAACACTTGATGACATATTGAGTTTTATAGTCTGTAGATTTGACTTGAAATAATGAATCAAGCAGTTCCCAAATCAAAAAAAAAACAGTCCGTTTACTAGATATTTGATTTTCTTAATACTGGTTACAGCAGTAATCATATGAAGAACAAGAATGCAGCAGAAAAATTCAGTTTTGAAAACATAGAGGAACTTGTTTATAAAACCACTATTCTTGAAATAATCATATGCCCAGTTTGTGTTATTTCTTGTGATCATGGCTGGTTCAATATTTAAGCAGCCATTTCTACATGCAGCAATAAGATTTGCAATGGCCAAGGAAAATGCACAGTTTGGTAACTATGAATAGGCATTTAGTTCTTTATTGGTGGGTATTACATTCCCTATGAATCTCAGCTCTATATTTTAAAGACCCAAATCCAAAGTGTCATCTTAAAAATATGACTCTCCCCACTTAATATTCAGAAATTGCTTTTCCTTTGTCTCATTTGCAATAGAAGTATTGTGGCTTAGATGGATCTTGGAGTCTAACATTTTCTAAGTATTTTGAAGGGATTTTGTTAAAGCTGCTGCCAGCAATAAAATGTCTAGACTACCATTTTTTGTTGAACATTTCATGAACACCCACATTACTCACACAAGCTAATTTATGTTCTTGGCAGAGCTAGACATGTATTTTGGAACATATTTTTGCACATCCTACTCTAACTGAGTTTACTAACAGATATTTATTTACAGTAAAGTGCTTCCTGTTCCACAAAGGTACATTATGTGCCATGGAGCATTATTGAGATTGGAGGACACCACCCAAAAAATGCAAGATACAGGTGTTTCGTCCATTACACAGAAAATACCTGCAAATAAGATTACCATATAGGTATATGTGTACATTAGATGTCAAAAAAACCATCAGTTCTTACTTCCATACCTAAATACATAAAACACTGCTGGCCAAAACTAAATTTTTTGTACTTTTCTTCAATGAATCTGAGGACTAACTTTTTAGTAAATCAATTTTTTTTTTGACTAGTAAAGAAATACAGAGCCCTATAGTAACATGTCCAAGAAAAAGTTGAAAGCACCATAAATTTGACCAAAACAAGTAGCATCCCATAAAAATAGTATGAATATATAATAAAATCAATAACTTTGCAGTAATTTGCCACAAGGTTAACAGTTAATATGTCACTGTTACCAGATCTTCATAAAATTGCCTGGTTTGTCCATTATTTTGAACTATAATCTTTCCAACTCTGCCACATCAGGGATTTCAGTTTTCCAGTACTGAATTCATAAAATAAAAAGTGGCTTTAACTTTAAGAGAATTAATTTCTTTGTTGTGGGAGAAGTATGGGATATTCATCTTTTTAATGGTTTAAAGTCCTGGGAAAAATATCTAGAGCTACAGAAGTAAATTACATCAAGAGAGGGAAAGTTTTCCTAATGTTCACATAATCTCAATGGATTTAAACTTCAAACTCCAGATTATTTAAAATGAAATAATGAAGAATAGATCCAAATCTAAGGTATTTTTGAGCATTAAGTTTAGATTGCAAATTAATTTGACATTTGAAAAGTTATCTGTATAATTTTACATGATCAGTAGCAGCAGTATTCACATTGGAAACCTCTATTCCATTCCCCTTACCCCATGATGTCTGAAAGAGGGCTTCAGAAATTACATTTAATGAAATTATATTTTAGTGTCCAGGATCTATGAAAGAACTAAAAGAAGAGGACAAACTTAATAGACTATTTGGGCTTTTTGTATCCAAGTAGAACTATAGTTGAGTTCATATAAACTTTGGGAAGAATAACTGCAGACATAGGGTCTGAACTCATGCTTACCTCTCAAGTGTTCTCTGGCTCATTGTGGGAAATATTCTGGAAATGTCAGCTCACTGGTCAGGAGATAGATGTAAACATTAGGAATCTTATAAAAGAATGAGAAAGTAATAAGGAAAATGAATGCATGCACCCATATATTGAATTCTGTGAAAAATACCAATTGCTCCAACTTAGAAAACAAATGATACATAGTGAAAAACTGTATGAGGTGACAAAGATGATTGTCACTATGAAGCATCTTAAAGCAAACGAGTAGATTTTTCAGCTCAGAACACAGAGTACAATGGAAATATACACATTCTAACTGGTACAGAGGAACCAAATATGGAACTTCCTCATAACACAACTTTTTTAATCTAGTGTTGCTTCTTGATGTCCTTGTTGGACACCTAAACTTGAGGAAAGCATATCACTTGACTTATTCTTGTAAGTTTTCCTTTTCTGCTAACAGCTGCTGTCAGACACTGCATGTTATGACCTTTGGTCAGGGGCAGAATAGTCATTCCTTCAGCTTTGGAGCCAGTACCATACTTGAGTCTTGCACTATATAGGTGCCTCTTCAACACAGGTGCCTCTTCAATAAAGTAAAATTTACTGTCTCTAGCCATAAAGATATGCATATTTAAAAAGAAAGATCTTGTGCAAGACTGTTTGCTCTCAAATCAGGAGTATTAGTCTATTGCCATGTTTTTCCAAATTTAGTATTAACTACATTAAAGAAATATAGTTTTAACTACTCATGTTGGTATATTATCAGAAGGCTTAATACATTCTCCTAGAGGTTTTTCCTAGACGCTTTTCTATAATTTCACTTTAGATAAAATGTGTTCATGCATAATCCCTTTGTATAATTCAATATAATCCCTCTGCATAATTCAAGTTCATCACCCCTTCAGGACAAGATCACTCACTATTTAAATATTGATATTTCTTCACTTACAGGGTCTTTTCATCCCAGCTCTCTGTCAACACCAGAAGTCATTCTTATGCTTTTTCTATGCCTATTTCCATGGGCAAGAGTGACAACACAAAATCTTCTCAGCCAAAAAAAGCCTGTTTGGGTTTAGAACAGTTCCATTGTAGGCAGGAGATGGGAGCTAAGTTGCAGAGTCCAGGTTAAACTTTCACAAATATTGATCTGAACACTGAATTCCTGATAAACCAAGAACTCAAATAGTATAGGCAGAACTCTGAGACAAAAATCTGCCATTGATGCTAGGAGAAATTGTAGTTAGACATTGATGCTCTCCAAAATAAAGTTTGTAAAGTTTCCCATGCCTGAGCGTTCTAGGGAGATGTCTTTTACACTAAGACTTCTTTAGCTGTGCCCTTTTCCAACATTTCCTCTGCCTCTTTTCATAGCTGCATTGGGCAGCAGACACAGGAACAAGAATAACCTACTCTTGCAATGCTATTCTACCAGGTTTTCAGCACTAGAACATGTCTTGCATTATGAGTCATATGCAGATGAATGCAAACATTAATTCTCCAAGAAAGTTTGGGTTCTCCAGATATATTAATTTAGCTTCTTTAATTATTCTGTTATTTACAATTATTTTTTTATTCTTGTAATCTTTAATATTTTTGATATCACAGGTGTGTTCAGCTCCTCCATATGACCTGTAATTGACAACGCTCTTTTCCAGAGAAGTGATGAGGATTTTAAATTTAGGCTTTAACTAATTCAGGGCAAATAATTCCCAACCAGACTCACAATAATTTTTTTCTCATTAATTTTTTTATTTAAGTCAGACTGAAAAGCATATTCTAATGTTTGAGTTCAGGCAGACCTAATGCAGTTGTAAGATTAAGATTTCATCATACTTTGCCAAGGCATTACAGAAATCCAGCCCTATTCACTGTGTTGCTTTCATGCCCTAACTTAGTACTTACATAGAAAGGGAATGTAGACTTCTGAGTTCAAATTTATATCATCAATGTCAGTGACATAAAGACTTGATTCTTTTCCTTATTCTACTTGCAATAAGTCACTTTTGTCATTAAAAAAGGAATTTCTAGACATTTCAGGAAATTTGCCAGCATCCCATGTAACTCTAACAAGTAGTTATTTCTAATATTAGGATTTTTATAAAAATATTATCAAAATTCCTAACTTCTTCTAAACACATTGCATCAGCCTATAAAATTAAAGGATTAGGTGAAGGGCTTTTAGCAAAGTGAAAAAACCTGCTCATAAAGTCTCTTGTTAAATGGTTGTGGAAGTTTTCATATAAATTTTTCTTCATTAAATATGAATTATAGCTCTTTAAATTGTGATGGTTTGAAAATCAAACAGGTTTGGCTTTACTACTACATATCCACAGGTAATATAAATCTATTGTAAAGTTAGTTTAAAAAGTTAACTTGGCAAAGGAGATCTGTGATGATTTTACCCTATGCTATGTAATTAAAAGCATGTTACACTGAATCCAGGAAATGTTCATTCCCAGAATACCTGGGAAATATATTTTTTCTACTTTGAAGATTTTGGATGTAAGAAGTTTACCATTTCCAGGGCAGATTATTATATTATAGGAATATACTAGGAAAGATAGGGTTGCTGGTAGTCTGCAATAATATCCTGAAGTAATTCCAAAAATTACAAGGTAGTCAGCACCCTACACAGGATATTCTTTTCCTAAGACCTGACACAAAATTGGGACCCTAGACATTAATATGATTTATAACTCTCAGGAAAAAAACATCACACAGCAAACTACAGGTAAATATTTATTTTTCAGTGGTACCTATCACAACAAATACATGTGATGTATTAAACCAGGTTTTTAGACACTGGACACCTACATTACTATCAGTTTTCATGGCAAATACATGTGCCTCTGTAATGTTGCATTTTAGCATAATTCATAGTATAGTACTAGGTCATATTTTCCTGAGCTGCATTGCATAAAAAGAGGTATCATTAAAGAACATTTTTAGATTGTTTTACACTTTCCAACAGTCAGAAGATAAATCCTTTAGACAAGTTATCATTTCCCAATTTTTCCTAGGTCAAAGTCAAAATGATTCATACGCCAATCATTTCATCTTGGGACCTAAAACACAATAACATAGTATCAAACATGACATCAGAGTTGATGGAAGAGAAAATATCATGCTATACTGACATTATTATTTTAAACATCCTTTGCTCTCAGCAAAGTGACATAAAGTGATTTATTTTCCATTTGCCTGTAAATGGGAAATTGACTTTTGAGGCACAGTGTACTAAGAAGAAATATCTCTTTCTAGGTGTATGTCAACTTAAATGTCCAAAAATAGCATTCTCTTCTTGGTTTATTTATGCTAAGAGTTTCCTGATTTTTAGCAAATAATGGAATATTCTGGTAATTTACATACTTTAGTAATAAAACAATTATTTTTCTACACCTAAACATTTTTCATTCTATTTTGACTTGGTAGACGTTAATGCAAATTTCTGTCCACATTTTCAGAAAACTCGGACTCGGTTTAGAGAATTAAAATGTATCCTACAGTGTTCAAGTCTGTGTAATGTAATAGCAGAAAGGCCTTGGTGGGACGTTATGCAAAAAAAGCACAGTAATAAACTCCAACAATGCTGATTTATCAGGAGTTATTAAAACATCTTTAAATATCCAGTTTAGAGAACTAGCAAGGAAAGGCAGGAATAAAACCTCCTAATTTTAAGCATTCTCCAGGAGGATATATTCAAATAAAATATGTATGACAAAGCTAATAAAAGGGAAATTACAGAGACCATTACTGAGGATATTTCATTAGACTGGTGTGTTCACAGAATTTTCCTGTAAGAAATATTACCTGAGTGATATATTAGTGACCAGATATTTAGGACTGGATAACTGGAGTTTCTTGGGATCAAAATAAATATCTAAAACCAGGCTCTACACAGCAGAGGATCGAAAGTTTGTTCTGTAGTTCCTCTGTAACTCTGAAATTCTTCTCATCTTAGCCCGCCTTTCTGATGATTTCCAGCTCATGTTGCTGAATTCTTTTTTCTTCAGGCTTTTGACAAATGAGAGTTTGAATAATGGAGCAATCATGTAAGGGAAAAAGAAATATAGGTTTCTTTCAGTTGTCTAGAATATGGATTCCATATTGGATTTTACAGTCACACTCTAGTTCTCCTTGAGGTATCCATGTCATTCTATTTTTAAATGAGAAGAGGGACACTGAGAATAAACATACTGAAGGCAAAATCACGTTCAATAAAATTCAGAGACTTATTTTTTAACTGCAGTAGAAACAATTTTTTTTCCTGAGAAAAATTGTATTATTATATTTGTGGAAATGAAAATGTAAAAGAATAATGTGTATTCCTACACTACTAGTAAAAGAAACAGAATTTCTTCAGGCTAGCAATAATTTACATACAATAGCTTGAGAATTTATTAAAAAACCTATGAGGTTTTTTCTTCAATGTTTATGTTTAACTCCTTATTATTAGAATTATGTATTGCGAAAATCTCAGCTGAAATACTTGGTTGAAATGGCTGTCAGTTGAGTTATTTTTATAAGCAGCTGAGAGCCACTTTGCAGAGGGACACACGGAGATTTATTTTATGAACAGAGGAGTATATATAACACAATGTCAAATTGCTTACCAAGCCAAGCACAGCATCTTTGTTCCCACAGTACTCGGGAGATGCTGTTCAAGATAAAGGCAGTGGCTTGTGCCAGAAAATGTAACATCACTCTTTTCTGTAGTAGGAGACAAAATTTCATAACAGTTCTTAAGAAAATTAGCTGAAGTTTCTATGTCATGAGATGTGAGCATTCATATCTCAGGATCTGATCCAGAAAAGTTCTTAAGCATAGGCTTTACTTTTACCATGGTCTTAAGTGATTTGTTGGATTTGGGCCCTGAAACACATAACTGCAAATCTTAGTCATTTGATGAAAGCAGCAATTCTAATTGCTATATTGGTCAATATTCTCTATTTTTGTTATGGGTGCAACAAGAAATTTGTCAGTCATATAAATATGGGAAATTTTTGTTTGTTTTGGGGAGGTTTAATTTAATTTTTAATCTTAGAGTAAACCAAAAAAATGTCTTCAGCTCCAAAGCAATCAGTTAATACTCATTAATTCTTATATATAAGAATCATATATAAATATAATTTAAATTTAAATATATATTATATATATATAAATATTATATATAAAATATATATAATAAATATTTTTAATTAAATAATTAATTACTTACATAAATGGCTTATATTTATACTTTGTATATACTGTACATTTAAGTGTACTTTTTGCTATATATCTCCTTTTACTCTCTAGTTCAGTATGAGAAAACTAACTACACATCACATATTTAAAATGTATGTCTGATCTTCTGCTATATAGAACATTATGTTTACCACTGTTGGGGACACTGCCTCCAGAGATCAATCAGAATTAGGCATGTCTTCTATACTGCTTTATAAAGATTAAGTCAATCAGCAGATACAGGAGGTTCTATTTTAACCTAATTTTCTATTGAAAACATTAAAAACAGACTATTTCCTTTCTTAATGAACATCTAATTCTTGGAGTGACATTTCAAAGCCAGGCACATTGTTTTCTCATTTACACATTTTGGCACCCAATACGCCTTCCTCCCTCCTGCTACTTCTCATTGCACTCCAAGGTGTTGCCTCATTTTACTTCTGGATTGTATTGCCTAGGAACAATCTTAGTAGTTACATGGTGATTTTAGAGGTTTCCTCAATCAGCAGAACTAACTCCATTCTGCAGAAGAGGCTGCAGAAAATGTTGTGATTCATTCCAAGGCAGAAAAACCTCTCTGCAGCTCCACATGCTAATAAAGGCACTCTTCTATGTGCTGAGCAGTTGGCCTCCGTCCCCAAGTTATTGTGAAAGTATTGTAACTGAGTTTTCCCTTCAGATGGCACAGTAATGTAGATGCTGGGAATTCTTGAACATTTATTTTGGTATCCTGGAATTGATTTGATATTAGGAAATTAATTTATTTTGCTCATTTGCAATGTAACAAGAGAAATCAGCCCAGGATCTGAGAGAAGATCAAAGATGAACATACAACTAGAGGCTATTTTGCCATGTCTAAACTCCTACTTTAACATGCAAGGAGCTGGTGCATTTTCTTTTGTTTAACATTATTTATATTTCTTCTCCATCACATTACAGTACAATATGTCCTATGGGCAACCATTATTTGAGATGTGAGGACTCAGTCTGCTGTGTCCCTCCTTCCCTATAACCTCCAGTGAATACAATGCGTGATGGGACCCTGAATAATGAGCGAGGACAGTAAATGTAGGCCACAACACTGTTAAATATCTTAATTGTATGGCTCAGAAATTAACCAGACTGTAATCTATTTGACATTGCATACAAGTCCTGCATCAAGTATATAATGTCAGGCTTGAAGTAGAATTATTCAGAAATAAAAATCACTCAGCTTTTTGGGGGAGCCAAAGAGGGATGTGCAGCAATGTGAAAATAATAGATATGCATAAGTAAATATACATACATACATACATACATACATACATACATATATATATATATATACACACATGTATATATACATATATATGCATATGTAGATAGCTAAACTCACATATATATATATATATATGTGTATATATATATATGTATATATATGTATGAATGTAGGACAGAAGTAATTGTACTGTCAAGTAAAAAATAAAATCTTCATATTAGAAGAAGGCAGTTTTAAGGAGGCTACTTTTAGGAGCCGTAAGCACATATTCAGTCTGCTGTTTCATTTGTAGTCTACAGAGTCGGCATGTCCATCTTAAAGGAGCAGGAAAAAATGAGTCATAGAAGAAGCTTTCCTGAGAGATGCAGTGATATTTTGGAATAAGTGTATGCTATAACTCGTCTGGAAAGTGGTCTGAGGATAAAGCTGGAAGACACTCATGGGAAGTAAAGCTATGTGAAAATAGATAGCCCCTAGGAGAATATTACTTTCCTGTTGTCCTCTTGAAACTGCAAAGGAGAAAACTCTTGAATGGCCTCCCAAATTTCACGAAAGACAGAATGTCTCATATACCACAAAAATTTGCACAAAAGACAGAATGACCCTGTAGTTCATGCAGCAAGGTCTAAGGTAAATTTGCTTCTGTCTGCTCATATCTTCTACAGCCAACAAGTACAGAGAGAAGTGTGTATTAAACCAAACAGGTTTCTAAGCAAAAGAGAAAGACATAGGTGGAGTTTGTTTTTCTCTACATGACGTTGTTGGCATACCATGTGCCACACTTTAAAGAAATTGTTCCTGGTGCCAAATGTTTTCATTCTTACAAAATAAAAATTAATCCCACCAGACTGTTTTCTTCTCAGTTTTCTTTCTCAAATCTGTAATCTTTACAAACAAGTCAACACAGTGATCACTTCCCATAAAAATGGGAGATTTGTGTGTTACTATACATTACTTTTGATCACAGCCCATAATGATACTTGAAATACATATTTTTAACTATATTACTTCAAACATCAAATTATCTAGGTCTTTCTATATAAACACTGACAATATGTTAGATATTGGGGATATTTGGGTGGGGTTTTTTTATGTTTTCCAGTGGGATAGCTGAGGATTAATGTATAAATATTATACATTATAAATGCATAATGTAGAAATGCTTTATTTTATATAGATGTTCTTCGGATGCCATTTTCACAAATATTTTTTCCAGCAATCTCATATAGAAAATATTGCAATTGTCAGGCAAAATGTATTAAAGAAACCCAGTTTTTTAAATACCTGATGAAAAGTCATAAGGATATTTCTTGATCCATTTTCCCAGAATGTATAATGTGCTTACAAAACTCTCCACAGGGTCTGGAGTCTAGCTTGGCTTCAGCAATGGAAAATATTCAGTAGTCATAAATCATTTAATTCATTACAAGGTAGTCTCTTTCACCAGGAATCAACAAGGAAAATAATAGTGTTATAATTTGAGCTTTTTAAAGCTTCAAAACTTCATATCTTTAAAAATATTTGAATAAAACTTGTGGTTAAAGACACTAAATAAGAGTTAAACCATCAGTAAAAAGTTTTTAACACATTTTAGGCTGTAAAAGAAATCATACATTAGGCAAAGTATGTTCATTAAAGGACAGTAGGACCATACAACAATATTTGTTGCTATGGAATGGAAATGACTGAACAAGTATTTTAGAAGCACTTTCACCTTTAGAATAAAATTTGTATTTATAAATAGTCACTGCTTGTAGTACAGATGTTACCTTTGAAGCCACAAATACATACTGCAAACACTGCTGGGCGTGAAAAGAGTCAAGGGACTTTCTGGTGGTGATCAGTTCAGTAGAGAGACCTCAGCACCTTGTTGGACTTCACAGAAAACCCAATGAAATATCATGACCACTTCATCACCTAGTTCTTAAGCAAGGCATTTTTCTGGGATTATCCTGTGAAATATGCTTAGACTTTTGTAGAAGCGTTTGGTAAATTAACCTTCTTTTTTCTCTTTCTACTAGTTATAGGAAAAAGCTCTTGCTCTATTTCAGTCTGGTCCCCAATCAACATCCACATTCTGATTATTACAGAAAAGTACAATGTCCCTTATGCTTACTCTGGTTACTCTTTTTTGCTCTGCCCACCAGGTCAAGCATTAGACACTTAGCTCCCATCTCCTAGTGCGACAGCTCCCTATGTTTTGGCCTAGACTAACCTGACTATTAAAAAACACTGTTCTTGTTAAGGTTATTAGCAAGGAATGCAAGGGACCTTCAGTTAATACAAAAGGCTTTGCAGCCTGAAGATCAGCTGGAATTTTTAAACTCCTACCCCTTGGGAGCACTTCAGAGCAATGGCAATTCAAAAACGTTTATAAAGACAAATTATTTCCTGGTAAGCCTTTGTTTAAAATTCAGGCATGACCAACTCAGAATTGTTTTCAGTTCATTCATTTTTTTTTGTAAAATGCATAAGAAATACCTATTTATTTTTATGGCTGTCACATGACACTTAAGAACTCTCTAAATTATTAATGGCCTTTGAACACTGGGAAGATGGGGAGGTGTAAGACAAAAGGTGAGTTTTTCATAAATAACTTAAAGTATAAATTTTGTAAATCAGGGAAGACAATTAGAGTTCTCTCCCGAGTAAATATTCATTAGAAAAAAAATTAAAGCACATCCAGACCAGGAGTATGACTTGGATACTGTATGAAAAGGATACTGTAAAGGTAAGATAAAAATAAATCAAAGGAAAGATCACAAGACATAAAATTTGTAGTCTGCCCACGAAAAAATCCTCTCATTCTCAGTTACATTGTACACATCACAGAAAAAGTCCCTCTCATGGCCTAGAATTCAGAACAGTTTGGAAGAAAGGGCATACAGCAGCCAAGAACAAGGAATGAAGAAAAAAGCTTGCCCGGGTCAGGAGTAGCAGAGTACCCACTAATGGCAGGCAGCCGCGCTGCGCAGCCCTGAAGGGCTTTCTCAGACTCAGCTCAGTGCTCAGCAGTGACACAGCTACTGTGAGCAGCAGGGCCTTCCCAGCACCATGGGTCTTTGTAAAGCAAAAACCAGATCTTTCCAGGGCTTGTATGGACAGGGTCAAGTTAGAAAACCAGGCACATGCTGGGGATGGTATTTTACTGCACATTCAGACAGCAGCACACGTGCTTGCTCCCACAGGTTAGGGATAAATTTCTGAGATTTAAAGTTTGTTGTACGGAAGAATGCAGTACACTGAAATCCTTACACCACACTGAATGGCCATATTTTTCACTTGAGCACACCCATTTTGCTTTGAGGTATCAATAAAGGGTTGGTCTTTAGTGTCTGCTAGTCCTAAATTTTTAATATATTAAATGTATTGCCAGTACACTTGTGTGAATATGGGAAAAAATAAATGACCTTGCAAATTAATTAGAGAAATAAATTAATAAGTGAAACAAATCAACTCTTTCTGTCAGTAGTGGAAGAAGTTCTATATCTGTATCTTCATATTATTAAGATCACATTTACACAAGTTTATTTTTCATAAGACTAAAGAAATGGAAAACTTTTTACAATGTGGCTATAAATTTGAAATATATACCTTGGAAAGCTTTTCATGTGTAACCACAGATTGGATGGCAAGACTTTTCCATCTTATTAAAAATTTTTGCACCTGCAATTTAGATAATTGTTATGATTTGGTTTGATTACAGCTAATACCTAGTCCATCAATTATAACCCAAGAACAAACATTTGTTTGGCAGTAGTATCTGAGATTTTGGTAGGTGACTCAAGAGGTTTACATAACAATAACTTATGGTCTGGCACAAATTATTCTTTTGTGATATAGCAGTTTTAAACCTGAGCCTTTCAGATCGCAATTTTTTGTATGTTTATCCTATGTGTAAAATTTATTCTTTAAATCATTTAATGTTTTTATGGAAGCCATGACTTCTTCTTTCATCTATAAAATCCCCACTGCCTATTTGATGCTTACTGCACAATTGTATTTGTGCCTAATGTCTCCCTCTGCTCCCCTATAAAACGGCATATGTTTGAGTCAACTTCTGGCAGAAAGCAACTCGCTCTGCAAACCCGACTGTAACTCAAATGAACATTTATCCCAGAACAATTGCATGAAAAGACTAATTCTGAAGTAGGGAGTAAGAGTTATTTATTATAGCTTCATGAAGTTGACTTAATAAAAGTGGAAAAGGTCTTGAAGTTTAAATAAGTTCACTATAAGAAAGTAAATTAGTAAAAAAAATTATCAAGGCTGTTTTCTAATATCCTTCACCTTAACAGAGTCCATTTGGCATATAGTGCTACCAAGAGGTCAGCTATAAAACACATTAAAAATAAATTAAATTAATAAAAATAAACACTCCTTTTGCTTAAAGAGGCTGTGTTTTTAATAACTAGTCTAAGGTAAATATATTCAAATACACTTAGAAAAACAAATAATTAAAAAAATAAAACCACTTGTTATTTCCTGGTCAATCAAGTTAGAAAGCAATTTAAGTAGAAAATGCATTTTTCAGATTTGATTTCTCATATAAAATTTGATAAACATTTACATTTTTTTCTGAGTTGTGTTATTTTAATGATTTCTGCTTAGAGGTAATTAGCAATATTTTAAGCTACAAGATGCCACAAAACCAGTAAAAGCATTGGAAGAAAAATCCTTTAAAAGTTAGGGGTTGTTTCCCAGGTTGACAACAAACAAAATTTCCTTCAAAAGAAAAGGTACCTTTGAAGAAAAAACACAGTCAGTAATTGGGACATTGCACAAGTTGTCATATAATATATTAAAGCCAGCCTCTCTGCATGTTGTTTCATGTATTTTCAGCCAAAGAAGAGAGAAGTATTTTCTCATTAAGAAAAATTAAACATACCAGATTTTTTTTTAATACTCATTAGTCAGTTTATTTTGTCAGATGCAAAAATTATTTAAAAAAAAAAAAAAGAAATTATTAGTATACAGAAAAATAAAATCACATGTGGGTCAAAAAAAGTAATTTAAACAATGTTTATTTATAATGGAATAACATATCTATATATACACTATTATTTCTGGAGTAAAGTGTCTGGGCTATATAGAGAAAAATACATGCAATCAGAATACTGATTTGGACTTCTTTGCTAATATTTTCTGTATTACATAGATTTTTTTCTTTCTGTAATTTGTTGTTTAAAAAATTAATGACTCTCATATGAGTTTCCAAAATATGTTTGGAAATTTTGATTCTTCTTGTTGTAGGAAAGCTTTTTTCTTAATCAGTGGAAAAAACAGTTATTTAAGGAGAGTAGCACCTCTACCTTTATTCTCTTTCCCCTTGTCCTTACCTGTCCAATGCAATCCACCTTTATTATCTTCTACTGGCCACATGTGCAGCCAGAGGGCAGAAGAAAACAGTGCAGGTGCTGTGATTCTGGGCAGGGGCTGGGATGTCCTCTTCACTTTTTCCTTTTAAACCCAAATCAGAGCCTATAGGACAAAATCACCTTGATGAGTAGTATTTTCACTTCTAATATATTGAAACATTCTATATATCAGGTCCTAATATATTTCACTCACTGTTTTATGCAGTATTTCTTAAGATAGTCTATGTTTGAGACTTTTAGGTACCTCAAAAGTAAACAAAATTGATTGAAAGTATTAAAAAGAAATTAGATGTAGACTTTCTTCTTTAAACTCACTTTGAAACTCACCCTCACTCTTGCAGAAATACATTTTCATCATAATTTTTGTACTTTAGCAGTTCCTTTTAAAGTACTTTGTATGAGTAAGCATTTAAGATATTATCTTTAAGAAAAGACATGCAATATAGAAACTGTTTATGTAGTTGAAGAGTTCTTTGAAAAAAAAAATAAATGTATGCTGTGAAGCACAGCTGCAAAGAAAATTTCAAAGTATTTACATAAAGCTATGATCAGTATTTAAAGCTGCCAAAAAAAGACTAATTTTTTATCTTTATCCTGGTAGAGGATAGTACTACATTTTTTCTGTCAACTAAAGTGAATACTCAGCATGAAAAGCACAAGCAGCAATTTACTTCGAGGTAAGTTTCCAACAAAAACACTATTTAAAATGCATTTTCTTAATAAATTTCTGCATGTACAGTCATAGGAAATTCTGTCTGTGTTAGAGAAAATTATGCTGTTTTTCTCAGAGACAGAAAAAAGGGGCATAGGAAGTTTTCTTTAGTTTTCAGGTTTTATAATACTTGCAGCTTGAGCAATTTTTTCCCACTTAAAGGGCTGAGGTTCTTTAATATTGTAAAATATCTCTGATAGTCACAGATTTATGGAATAATGATGATTCTCAAAGCTGGGCTGCAGATATCATCCTGTCATCAGAGGGGAGAAGAGTGAATAAAACCCTATTAAATACGCTAGAACTTCAGGGAAAAAGAACAAGATAGAATTACTTTAGTCAACATGTTCTAGATGAGGGGGTACTTGCTATAGAAAATGAACTCTTCAAAACATTGTTATGTGCTCCCGGCTCTCACCATGACCAGGTCACCATAACTATCCTAGCAATGATTCTAGAGATGTCTCAACAAAATTAATTTTCTCATCAGCATGCTCTGAAAATATCCAGTTCTCCCAGTTTCCTAGATAGGCTTTCATGGATATTAGCTTCCAAGTAAAAGAAGAAATAAGTAAAGTTTCTGGGAAAAAAAAAAATACATCTGTAAGTGGGAAAAAATTTAATTCTTTGAGCAAATATATTTCATATCATAACTTATACTTTTGGTGAGTTATTGAACTGTTTTACATGAGAAGAGTTAATAATAAATTTCTGATAATTTTTAAGTAAGATGTTTTTTCAAGAATTATATACTTCATCACAAAGGTAGATGAGTAATAGCAGCATTTTACATTCTGTACTGTAGAATTCTCTAACAGACCAAGCACAACAAGGAAATAAAATTATGTCTCAAATAGACAAAAGCCCAGTCCAAGGAAAGATCCTATAGGTTGGGTATTCTTTGAGGGAGGAAAGAGAATTTGTTTGTTTGGTTTTATTTCTTTTTAGAAAGTGACTGGGACCTAATAAATTTTTTGTGGTATCCTTAAAAATAACCAATATAATAATAACCAATATAATATGATAACCAATGCTATCATATTACCATTCTACCTAATCCAGTCTCCATTTTTTCACTACTTGCATCAATAAAATAAAAGATCTCTTGCTTTGACAAATCAATTTCAATTGTGGCTTCACCAAAAAAAGCTATTCAATATATCCCCAAATGAACACATGCAGAAAAAAAAACATCACAATGTATAAGAGTATTACAGCAAATTTTCCTCTGATTTATTAAGTTAAAATCTCTTTAGTCATTAACAAGAAAGTTTTGATTTATTTTAGTAACCAACAATCCTACATCACTATGGACACACTTGGATATATGCTGCATTTAAAAAAAAAAAATTCCTCTGCAGTAATGAAATTCCTGAATAGTTTGATTTGAGATTAAAAGAAGATATTATCTGTAATTAAGCTTTCCTTGTTAGAGAGAGACCACAGTTATAAACTGCCATATTTTTAAGGAAAAAAATACTATAAAATCTACTTTTATAGATACAACTGTAGGGTTTGGCTGTCTGTAATAGATAGATGTGGCCCAAGAAACAAAGCATTTGGAAAGGTTGAGAGAATTCCCTTAGAACCCCCCATTAAAAAATTTGTCAGCTAACCCTATTTCTTGGCATAGTGGAAATTTCCAGGCCATATTAAGTCTGTAAGAAAGATAAATCTCATATCCCCTCTGTACAAAGAAGTTGGGAAGGAAAATATGCAACACTTTTCTGTACACTTCTCTCTGAACATTACACATCGAGTTTGGAGCACCACAACAAATCTCCAAGTGCTATGAAATGTGGCGCAAAGGGCTAGAGGCAATATATGACCCCAGTCTGCTATAACAGGGGTGATAGCTGCTGCTCCTCTGCTCCAGCCTCCACAGCAATATTCCCTGCATGATGTAGATGATAACTGCTGCTGGTGAGGAGAGCAAGATTTTAGGAGAATCCTCAGCATTTCGAGGGAAATCCTGACACAATGCGCATGCGTGGGTGGATAAGAAGGACATTGAAATGAGATAGTGATGGATTTTTTGGATTAGATGGATTGGGAACAAGTACAGTTTTACTGATTTCTAAAGTAAGGAAAAAGAAAAGAACTTATAGTTTTGATAACAGAAATTATTTTCTTCTACCTGCAGAAAAGAACAATTTATATTTTTTTTTTAATTATGGTTATTAATTATAAGTTGCTATTGATTTTTAAGAAGGAAAGCCTACTTTTACTGTACTTCCAAATGTGCTTCAATTCTCCAACAACCATTAATATCTTTGACTTTTTAATGTATCACAATATCAATAATTTAAAAGGTTATTCTAGAAGAATTTTTAAAGTGCTCTACTGGTTTTACTGTTAAAAAACTATATCCCTTTCTGCAGTAAAATATTTGTGCACATATGTTACACCAGATAGCTTTACTGAGCTATTTACATAAAACTGGAACTTTTTTCTTTGTAAACCTTTTTATCTTCATCTTTCAGTAGTCCAAACTACTTTCATCAACTGGGAAATACATTTGCCTTCTGGGAAATTCCCCACAGTGTTTCTGAGTTCTGCACAGAATTCTAGAGTTTTGTATAGAACACTTTTATTTCCTCTCCACTTGTTTCATGGTTTAGTTTGGTCAGCAATTGTGCTGCCTAACGGATAGTTCCAAAATTGCCATTAAATAATGAGCAGATACAAGGTTGAAGTAAGTTACAGAACCCTGCTAAGATTTCTGACAAGGCCTGGAACTCTACAGCTACAGAAAAACTTCATGGATCTGAGTTTTTTCTATCCCTAGATGTTCAAAGAAGACAACCTCAGAGTTAAACCTGATAGTTATGAACTTTGAAATGCAGTATAGGTATCTAAAATTGTATTTTCATCACCTGCCATACAGGTAACTACATTTTGTTGTTTTTATTTCTGTAATGTTTAATGACAGAAAAATCACATAGCTGCATCCAAATTTTTATATATATATATATATATATATATATATATATATATATAAATTTTTATTTTGTATATGTGTGTGTATGTGTGCATGTGTGTGCATATGTATGTATATATATAATGAATGATATATGCATATTTTTCATTTCATTCATATATGAAATATGATATATCATATATCTGATCATATAAGTAGGAATGTTAGTAAAATAATAGAAATGTAATTAATCTAAATATAAAATTTTTTAAATGTAAAGAAGCTGTAGGTTATATTGTATGTATATTTTATTTCACAAAATAATTAGTTGTTCTTAACCTTTTAAATACTTAAACTTTAAAATAAAGGTAAAATCCATATTTTTATAAGCTCTTCAATAGACCTTACGAGAAATGGTTAAAAAATACTATGAATCACAGATAAATTAAGAGAAAAATGAAAATTTAATTTTGGAAAAGGACCAAACTAATGATTTTCTATTTAAAAATTCTCACCTTCCCACAAAATAGTACTGTATAAGCAAAAATACTCTAACTTTTCCAAGAAAGGTATTATGGTAATTAACTGCCATAATAATAATTAAGTGGTCTTTCATTGAGGGATAAAATTTGTTCTTAAGGGTTTACTTTTGCTTGCATTATCATTGCTTTGGTTTTTATCAGTTCCCTTCTACACAGAATAGCTCCAAAGTAAGCTTATATTTCCCTGAATGGAATTCCTGGAAATGAAGTGACTTATTTCCCTGAAACAACTACTCAGAAAATTTATATAAATCTATATAGTATATTTCAACTTCTTTTGCTCCATTTTGTTGTGATCAGCAGAATTTAATATTTTGCCTCCTATGCCAGGAAAAAAGAAACCACAAACACAACACACAGTGCAGAGCATCATATGAACATATTTTTTCTTATGATGCTGACAAAAATTCTCATTTTATGTTTTCCCTGAAAAGCTGCACTTAAAAGTGATTCAGGAAATATGTGTTATTACCCTTTTTCAGCCTTTTCCATGAGTAAGTCATTCTTTTTCTCATTTCTTTCAGTAAGTTTACTCACTGACATATTCTCCTGAATACTCAGTCTACACACTTGGTGCTTGCATTACAAAAGGTGGAGGGTGGAAATTGTGCAATATTTCAGCTCCAGAGAGTTAAACAATTTCTTTCCAGAATTATGGAGACCTATGAATATTGACTTTTGATTTTATAGGGCAAAAAATTAATTCCTTCACCATCATTCATCTTCTAGTTAGAAAAATAATTTTTGCATTACATACAAATTGAAGAGGAAAATTTGCCTCCCACAGATGTCAGTAGCCCATTTGCCATGCAGCTCAGTAATTTCAAAATAGATTACTGCTTGATGCATTTTTTTCCCCTCAGGATTTCTCGTTCTCAGTTTGTTTTTAAATTTAATGCATGATAAATTCACAAAAAAAAAATTATTTCTTGCTCTTAGTTACTGAGAGACTTTGCATAAAAAACTCATGTTGCCAGCACTGGACTAGAAAATCTTTTTACCTCTAAACTGTCCACACCTAAATTTTGGTATTTTTTGTAAACAGGAGTGAAATTTCTGCCTGATTAATGTATACTGATGGATCCAGTCTATTGCTATAGACCTTACCTACATTTTTATTCTCAGCACTCTATAAACTAATACAAAAAGAAAGCCCAACTATATTTTTCTTAAATTTCAAACCTCAAGTTGCAGCTGAGGGTCAACCCAGATGTTTTTGCAAGCCAGATATTTACTTTAAGTTTTTCATGTAATAACCCTCTATAATCAATGCAACTCCAGGAGGCAATTTCACCCATCATAAGTCAACTGACAGAAATAAATGGACTAAACAACCCTCCACAAGTATTGCTGGGATTCACTGAGTGCAGAGTGAGCCTAGCTAGCATAAACCAAGCATCAAACTGTAGGTAATAAAAATAAGGTAAAAGATCTCTCATCCTAAGTTTTGGAGGGTTTTCTGGTGTAAAATTGCAATAAATTATTATTAGTTTTTGTAGGATAAAATGGTAAATACTCATGGACATCTACAAAATTTTATCCTTTTTACTTCTAATATTTCCAATCATTATTTTGTATTAGCTTTCCCAACAATCAGTTTTGGTTTTAATTCTGTTAATGAATACAGACAATGGAAAAAATTATTTTCAATTTCCATCTTTTCTTGACTAATGTCTCACCTTAACCTCCTCTATACAAATAAGTATGGCAAAGCTTAACTTAGTGTGCAGATTTATATTTTATGTGTCACCACTCCCTTGAACTCTCTGTTCTCTCCACTCCAGGTTCACAATGGAGCACCTGGACTCTGCAGTGACTCTCCCTTCTCCCTGAACAAATGTCTGCCATCATTCAAGTACAAGCAGTACATATTACAAGGCCCAGGTAATCACTCATGATGGAAAAGCAGTGTTCCTACACTGTAGCTTCAAGTATACAGATATTTCTTAACAAATTATTTCCTGTTAATTAATAAAGAAACTGTGAATTACCAGAAAAATTTTAAATCATAACTCTTATCAGCTAGGGTACCTAATAAGTATTTTCTGTGTCAGAAAATCTTTACATCTATACATGTATAGATGTATTTCAATACATCTAAGAAATACCTGTATATACATTGAATAGCAAAAAGTGTTCAATGTATTTCTATACTTTCTAAGAGAGAGAAAATATTGCTTTTTATTTTTAAAGAAGTCCAGCCTTCCAACCTGCAAAAGATCAATTTACTCAAAGTGAGCTTTTCTAAAAGCTAAAAGACTTTTAGTTTCTTCAATACTACAAGCTCATGTTGAGAAATCTAGTTTGTTCTTTGTAGTAAAATATGATTATTCCTTTCATTCCTTGCATTATAGTTGCACTTATCCTACAGAGTCAGGCATGAATGACCATAGTATGTACACGGACTGAATGAACAGACACATAGTGTAGACCAAAATTGAGACCAGCAAAGCCACACAGAGAAAGTGCCCATGTACCTCATACTTTTCTCATTCTTTGGGACTTCTTTTAAGACATGAAAGCAAGCCTCAAAATCTGGGAATTTTTTTAGAGGTCACAAAGCACCTTTCATCAAATGCAAATATTAGAGAGCCTACATGGTTTTCCCATGAAAAGAGCTAATGAGGGGAGAGAAGGGGAAGGAAAAAATTAGTTTTTCTACTGTGTATTTAACTTGTCTGGGTTATATTTACTGATGTTTGATTTAACTAGACACATGAACATTTACAATCTTATATTACACAGCTCCTCTGGAAGCAGTGCTGTATTTGTTTATTAAGTTATTTATTAAATAAAGCCCTTCAATGCACTTCTAAGTGACAGCTATTATTTAAGAAATCTTTAATATTATTTTTGATAGTCATAGGTTCTGTCATTAGTAGGGCAGACTAACAAATTATCAATGACATGTTTATGCTACCACTGGTATTCCCTGGCAGCCAGAACCAGAACATGGAAGTAAGATTTTTGGAAAACGGTATGTATACCATTTTTATGTATTTATTTATTTATTTATTTATTTATTTATTTATTTATTTATTTGCACTGAGTTTTGCATTAATTAAAAGGAAATGATGGTGGTGTGCTCCTAAATTGGGCTACTGGCTTTATTGCAAGCAGAAGATGCCATACTTCTTTGGTCTTTGTGGGCAGCTCATCTTTATGACAACCATTTTATTTTGTATGTCATTAGAGACTCGAACATGGCAGGACTCCATGATTTCTGAATTGCAATTGGATTTGGATTGCATTTCACCTTTTCTTGGTAGAATATTCACTTTTTCTAGGACTAATTGACTTAAAATGATGGGGCCAGAAGTTTGCTGTGGGAGGTAGTGAGGGAGCAGGGCAGGCCGTGGTGGGAGCCAGAGGCAGCCTCGGTGTCGGGCATCAGGCATCAACCCCACACGAAGATGGGACTGCTGGAGTGCTTAAATTCCTGGCAGCTGATCTGCTTCTTTCTGTGTCCCAAGGAACCGGACATGCCTAACAGCTATGGGATTACCAAATGCACAACACATTTGTGCTGCCTGAGGAGTCACCAGAGGTACGTATATCATGGATCCTGGATTTGACTCTGAGTTGCTTGTAACATTTCCTCTAAATCAGAACATTCACTCTATTTTTAAAAAGTAGACTGAATAAGACTCCAAGGCTATGGAAATACTGTGTGTAATTTCAAGACAATGGAGCCGCATCTGACTTTTCTTCAATGGGGAAGAGTCCCCTGTGCTTTCTGCTCTATCATGTTTAAGTATTTCACAGTCCAGGCATGTGCAGTAGTCTTCTGAAAGCAGCATTTCCAAAATAAACTATTCAGCCTGATAAAAAAATGGAGATCCTAGTCCACAGCTGTTACAGATGTGTAAAATTCCAATGAAGTTAATGTGGCCATGGGGATTTCTACTCCTAGACCCAGAGAATTGAATACTTTCAAAACAGAACACAAATAAAGTCTTACAATAGTGTCATAAGACCTAATAATAAGTAATGCACAACAGTATAAAGGATAGCTTGATACCTGGAGGCAAGAAGAAGTGCAAAAGGATGGATATGCATTTAATATTTGCAATCTAGGAGGTACTGTAATTTCTGCGTAATTGCTGTAATTGTCCCCAATATTGTGTTCTGTCTGATAGCCAAGCATCACTATATATCATATTTATGTAGCAGCCTTCTCTACAGCTAAAATATTTTCATATTTTGCACAAACCCTGGAAGATAAAATCTTCCTGACAGGACAAGCAGACTCTAGAGTTTACTATAGTCAAAAAAACACTGATGTTAAACTAGTTGCATTTAAGTTCTGAAATTTGAATTTTAACTGTTTGTTTTTGAAACCAACTCAGAATGTACTCTTATGAAGCAGGTGTGTTGCAACCATTAAAGCAAACATTAGTCCTACCTGGTTTTGAAGGAATCTACAGAACGCAGTTAATATCATCCCATTTCTATGACTAGAATTTCCCTAAAATTATTTAAATATGTGAGATCAAGAGATAAATTATTTAAATTTTTTTCTGAGAAGATTTTGTGCTTGGTGATAAAACATGGGATTGCAGTCCTTATCTAATCTGATATAAAGTATATTAGGCTTTCTATAAGGTACTCAGCTCTGCTTCCTCATCAGTAGGTAAAAGTTTGTTACTTAGAAGAAAATGTCTTCATAGTTCATAGACCATAATCTGTCCCTGCACTACTCAATAACTACAGTGTGATTACACCCTTTATTCTCCAAATTTACCTTTAAATGATAAGAAATCAAAAAGCAGTGTGATAAGGTTGAGCTGGTATAAGTGTCATCCTCTAGTTTAAACTTTAGCCCAGATTTTGTAAGCACAAAAGCCACAGTTACCTCCTTAATAATGTATCATTTTTAACATATTCATTCTCAAATATGTAGAGAAGAAAAAACAGAGAATAAGCCTGGACTAACTGCTGTCCTGGTAACCCAAATGTCTCCTGTCATTTAGGAAAAGTCATGTTCAGTTCTGCTATCAACATCCAGAGATATTGAAAAGGAAAATTATTCAGAAAGTGATTGAGCTGGAGTCAGTCAAAAGACGAAGACTTGTCAAAACAGCCCTAGCCCTACACCATCAATATTGTCAACCTTGTTCATTTATCTAAGAGGTAATATAACTACATTATAGAGGGATCTATACAAAGATGAAAATATCTATCACATGAAGGCATAAATGCATCAAATTTTCATGGAACACAATTAGACAAAGTTGAACTGTTGAATATAGGTTACTACTGAGAACAAGAGATGGCTCTGTTATGGTATTACAATCCACCCACTGAAAGTCTACTTTAGAATACCTGCAAATTCTGGCCCTGATGTAGATACTGTGTTCATAGATGACTTTATAAGAGCTATAAAAAAAATCTCTATTCAATTTATTAACCCCTATTGATGTACTATAGACAGTGTAAATACTATTACCAAGGAAATGTAAACAGTTGGGTATTACTGCCATTATAAAGAAAAACTTGAAGTCAGGAGCAGTGTTCCTTCCAATACTTCAGTAATATGATTACATACAAAATATCTGGAAAAGAGAAGGGATAAAATCAACACTCAATTTTAGCAAGAAAATGTTATATAATTACTGAAGTTAATGTCCTTTCCTTGAAAAGTTTAAGTTGCAGAACAATTAAAAACACATGTTTACTTGAAAGCCTTTTGTGAAGGATGTTTAGCTGCAGCATGAAATCACTATATATGTGAATGTAAAATCTCCCATTCTGCTAAATGCCATTCAAATCAACATTAAAATTGTTATGAACAAAACAGCCTGGCTGGGACACTTGGCTCCAACTCTGTACTGACATTGAAATGTTAATTAGCTAATTGCTCCTGGGAATCACCTACAACCCCACCCACACTAAGACTGGAATGCAAAATAATCCAGTGGAATCATGGGAGGGGGTTTTGGGGATGAAAAACACCCCTAAAATGGAAGGCTGGGCACAGTGGAGGGGGCTGGATGGATGTGCTGGTTGAAGAAAAGGGAACCTCATCCTTAGTCTGTGTCTGACCTGTCACCATAACCTGCAGAGTACCAGACTGGACTGGGCTGTGGGAAGCAGGAGCAAAGGAGACACACATTTCCTGGTGTTACCAGGAGGGAAGGAGAGAGACAGATGCTGCTGAACTTTGGCAGCAGGCTCTGCACATCCCCTCACCCTTTGGCTACCAGTGTGCCAGGAGGAAAGGAGAGAGGACAATCTGCTGGGACTTCAGATGCAGACTGCACACCTCTTCAACTCCAGCTACCAGCATGCCACGGAGTCTGCAGGGACAGACTCTGCACGCCTGCTCACCCTTCGGCTACCAGAAAAGCTACAACAGCGGGGCGAGCTCCTTGTCGAGCCCCCTGCCGAGCTGACTTTTTAATAAAGAGCTGAACATTAATAAAGGCATAGACCCTGCTAATTTCAAAAATCAGTCCCATTTATAATGCTAACCTACTTATCCATAAAACATAACCCTAAGGATTTGTCATTGGAACTGATCACAACCATAACTATGTAGCATTTTGAAATTCTTTGAGAAGGCAGACTTCTTTTTTCATTTTTTTTAATGGTATAAATACTTAATATTTAATATTTCACTTTTCTGCTTCACTGGTCAATGAAATAATACAATGGAATATTTCTTTTTCTTCTGTCCTTGGATTACATAATTGTGAATTTATTTGAAAGAAGGGGAAAATAAATGGATAATTCATCTGAGGTTTTCTCCAATGGAAACAAAATGAAGACAACTTGCAAGATAGAGATGACTGAAAGGGACAATAAGAGGAGAAAAACAGGTCCAATGAAATTTATAGCATTTAATTCCCATTTTTCTCTTTATCAAAAAAGCCTGACAACTATTTAAAAACATATGGTTTTTTCTCAGTAGAAATAGAAAAAGTCACATGAACTGTCTTTCTGGAAAATCAGTGCTGCCCTATCACATATTTAGAAAGTAAATGCACCAAAATATTCTTGAAAGAATGTATATAAAATCATCTTTTATTCTGACTTTGACTTTATTTATGTTTTACATTACTTTCACCAAAAAAGAGACTGAACAAAGGAACAACAATATTGCTTACAGCTACAAAAGAAACAGCTTGTAACCAATAATTAATGTTCAAATTCTAAGTTCAACTGTGGACAGCCTAAGTAACAAGCTTAGCAGGCTTAGGTTAGGTATGAACCTAATTAACCTATTAGGACAACCTAAGCATGATGGGTTAGCTATATCGTGGGAGACTCCCACAGGGAATGTTGTGATGTTCAGCCTAGTACTAACCAACAAGAAAGGCCTTGCTAATGCAAAGGTTGTGGGCAGCCTTGGCTGGAGTGACCAGAGAGATTGTGGAGTTCAGTACTGAATGAAAAGATAGCAGGATAGAGTGAAAAATTATGGCTGTGGTCTTCTGGGGAGTAACTGGCCTCTTCAGGGACCTACTTAGAAGAATCCCATGGGATAGAGCTCTAGCAAAGAAGGGAGTCTAATGTTTAAACACCACTTCCTCCAAGCTCAAGACCAGTGCATCCCCATGATGAAGAATCAAGCAAAGGTGAGACTTGCATGGACAACCCAGGAGGTCTTACTGCCACTATAATTAGGGCAGTAGCTAATTATATGGAATATGAAATGCTTATTTTAATGACAAATAAATAAATAAATAATATATAATAAATAATAATAAATAATAATTTTTATAATTAATAAAAAACTTATTTATCATTAATAAAAACTAACCCCTTAATACTTGTGTATTACCAAGTAATGTCAAGATACTATATAAATGTGCAAAGACCATTTTCAAATGGAATAGTAAATGGAAAATATCTGTTATTGAAGATCTCAATATGGTAGTCTCATGTAATGATATAAAATTAAATTAGTATTTATGTACTTAATATATCAATATTTCATTTTAAAATATTTATTTATTCCCTCAGAAGAAGAAATTCAGGTTGTTATTTTTTTCCTCCATCAATTCCCTGTTCAGAATATCTTCTTTCCATCATACTCTCAGATCCATGGTAATTCTCAAAACATATCTCCTTTAAGACTTTGGATTCTTTACTAAGCATATTTCTATTTTAGTCCCAACTGTATTTATATTCTTTTCTTTTAGTTGAATAAACAGAGAATAAATGACAGCTGTATTCCCAACTTGGAATCCTGTAGCATATATTCCAGAGTGTGTATTTACCCACATGTGCTGGTTGAGACTGGGGCAGAGTTAATTTCCTTCACAGTGGCTGTCATGGGGCTGTGTTTTGGATTTGTGTTGAATACAGGGTTGATAACACAGAGATGTTTTTGTTTTTGCTGAGCAGGGCTTACACAGACCCAAGACCTTATTTGCTTTTGTATTTTGTGAGGAAATTGGGGGTGCCTGGAGGTTGGGAAGAGACACAGCCAGGACAGGTGACCCAACTGACCAAAGGGATATTCCAGAGCATCTGACATAAAGTGGGGGGAAGAAGGAGGAAGAGGGAGATGTTTGTAGTGATGGTGTTTGTCTTCCCAAGTCACTGTCGCATCTGATGGAGCCCTGCTTTCCTGGAGATGGTTGGACATCTGCCTGGCATGGGAAGCACTGCATTCATTCCTTGTTTCATTTTCCTTGTGTATATAGCTGCTGTTTTCCCTATTAAACTGTCTTTATCTCAACCCATCAGTTTTTTACTTTTATCCTTCCAACCCTATCCCCAGTCCTGCTGGTGTCAGAATGAGCAAATGACTGCCTGTGCCTTGGTGTTGGCTGGGGTTAAACCCTGACACTTCATTACCTGCCTGATTTGTCCACAGTTCTATACAGTGCATTTGAAGTGCTCACTCTGGAATCATCAAGCACTATCTTAGTTGTCATTTATGGATGATCAAATAAAGCTTATTCAGTAATTCTCAACAATTAAGACACTAGGTAAAGGAGAAACCGAAGAAAAATATTACAAGTTTCACTTACAAGACTAATGCAACTTTAAAATCTCTGCCCTGAATTATAGGAGACACTGAACTCCGTAGAAGGCACGATGAGACAGTTCCAAACTGACTCTTGGATGACTATCAGCTCTTTCATACGTCTGATTATAGTCAATAGGGATAGATAATCAATACAAGCAGTACTGCCTCAAGTCATTTCAGGTCAGGATGGAGATGCCTACCAGTATCGGCAATACTTTCTCACCTTACTCAAACCACCATCCAAATGTAGACATCTGAATTTAAATCTTTAAAAATTAATACAATCCTCATAATATGAGTTCAGCAGCATCTTAGTTTATATCATCATGTGATGTAGTTGAAATTATATATTTCTCTGTTTACTACTCCTCCTCTGCCTGACAGAGACAAAATCAAGAATGATTCACTTCACACAGCTCTCTTCTTCAAGTCCCATGACATACTGACCTTTTTGGCTCAACCAGCTAGGTGTGTTGTACTTCTCAGTATAAGCACTCAGAGATTACTTGTGTGTTAGAAGCAAAACAGTGTAACTGCTTTCCCTTATCTTTACTGTCTGCACATTCTTTGTAGTAGTTACCCACATATTGCTGCCAGTTCTTTGCACTTGTATGAGAGATTTAAGCACAAATGACTGAAAGAGAGGTAAACAGCAATGATAAGTATGACACAAGATCACAAAATATTTTCCTTGCTCTTACCTGAGTGTTTCATGCCCTTGTGTTTTTCTGGGTTTTAGGTAACTGTCAGGATGTGATAAAGGCAGGCATACTTCTTTTCAGCACTGTGAGAACCCTGGAGCACTGACCATTCATTTAAAGGGGCCTGGCACCTCACCAGAGGAAACCACATGAGACACTTCTCTTTTGAGATCAGTTAGAATGAGAACAGTTTGTCACACTATTCACTATTCACCAATACATTCATATTTCTAGGTCCAGCAGTCAACAGGGGAGACATCAGATACCAAGTGCTAGGCTACCTTCCCTTTCACCTACAAAGAATTAAAGCTTTAACTGATGACAATGATTTATTGAGCCCTGCCAGCATGACAGAAAATGCAAAGGATAGGCCTAACTAACACAGAAATCTAAAACGGAAACAGCTCTTTTCATTCTTAGGCAAAAGGTTTCTGTAACTGTAAGTACTTACACATGCACAATACTTTCACGTCCTTCTAATCAAATCAGGTAATTTTTCTTTTCATGCTAGCTAATCCTATTGAGCAAATTATACCATGAGAAAAAAGAGGTTCTACATTTTGCTTTTTTTATTGAAACTGCTTACTGGCTCCAATACAACTCTTAGCTCCCTGATCAAGAATGAAGAGTCAGAAGACATACACTTTCAGCTGTTAACTGAGCTTATTACCATGGAAATTCCAGAGACCAAAGTACAGTATTCACGGCATGCTAATGTTGCATAACCTCCTTTCAGAGCAGGATCCCCTTATTTTATAGTAGCCCACCCAGTAACAGAAGCTGGCTGGGAATGACTGCTCAAGATCTGGAAAAAATTAGAAAGAGACACAAAGATCTCATTTGCAATGAGATTTGAATTCAATCCGGGCTATACAACAGAAGGAAAAAGGACTTTTATGAATTTTCTGAAGTTACTTGCAGATACAGGACAAAGGAGTAAAAGCCCAATCCAGTGAGTCATTAAGAACATTTTATTTCCAGCAAGTCACTGAGCTTCAGAGCACCAAAGAAATATTCCCCTATTTTTCCTTATTTCCTCAGAGAAAATTGTGATCTCCAAAAGACATCTGTTTAAAAGTAGCAATAAAATATCCTGAATGTCTTCATTAGTGTTTCTGATCAATCTTGAAGTATGATTTTGCAAAAACCTCTGAACAGGAGATTTTATTACCAGCTGTTAGATTTTATCAGGTCTCCATCACCACATTTCCTTGTGCAGTCATGTATCAAGGCTAGATACAAATTTGGACTAAAATGAACTTGAGACAAAGGAAAAAAAAAATTGAGAAAGCAACAACTTATCTGAAAAACTGTTGAAAAAAGGTAGTTTGATTTCAGCTACTGGACTTTCAGGATATTTTCATAACATCTTCCACATGAAGTGGGAAGTATTCTTAGAAAGATGATACATAAACATAATTTAAGCAACATATGTCTGTAGTGTGAAGAAATAAGCTTTATTACTAGTTTCAGCCCCAGTATTAGGGGCAAAACTAGAAAGGGATCACAGAGAGATCCCAAATGTTGCATAAAATGTATTAGAAGGAGGAGAAGCTATACTCTGTCACTTAAAAACATTAGCTGACTGTTTTCCCTACTTCCTCTTCCTGACATTACTTGTTCATGATATCATGCCCCTGTTCACTGGTTATTACCTTCACAGTATGATGTTTCTAAACCTGTCCTGGCTCAAAGGGGATAAAAAGGTTCAGAACACAGAGGCAAGTTCAGGCACCAATATGAAACGCTATCGTATTTCATGTATTTCTTGTGAATTGTTAAAGTGATTTCCGATAAAGTCACAAATTACTTTAAAAACTTGCTTTTAGCCCACCGCGTCCTCCATGGATACAGCTCATCTCATTTAACTGAATCTCTATTCCCCTCAAATTCCACTTCAACCTCTAAGTCTCTGTGAAACAATTTGCCAAAATACTTATATACATATTTTGACTTGTATGACTGGGTATTCAGTGCTGGCTACAAATGGCATATTCAAATTTTCCATTTGCCCATTTAGCTGATGCAGTAGCAGATATGTACCTCATATACCGTCCAAAGGCTGTCATACAAAGCCATGTAGCCACAGCCTAGACTTTATGTCTCATCAAAGCCTTTATTAATTTTTCTCTCAAGGATCTTGAATCCACAGTTTAAGATCTCTTTGTACGTTCTTCTCTATCTCTCTGACTTTATTGAAGCTAGAATTAGTCCATCCCTCTTTCTGTTGTTTTAGCTGATCTTCCTTAATGTCTCCAAAAATCTTTCTTGAATTGCATCAGTTTCAGGAGGACATGAACAGTATTGTATTCTCAGAACCTGAGATATGAACACAGTTTTACGATCTTAGAATATTATTTTTAAATAAAACGTCACAATAGTTAAGAACTTGTTTAAAATTACCCCCAAAACTAAGTTGATTTCTTTGTAATGCCTTAAATTTCCACATTCATTAACAATATCTTGTGGCAGGCCCAGAATTCAGTAAAAGAGGGCAGTAATGAGGTCCACAATACAGTCTGAAAAAAAATCATATTAAAATCAGGGAGATAAAATATATACTATTTCAAATATTTTTATTGTGTTGGCTTTAAAACAGAATTATTTCATGAACAATAGAAATACCATTGTTTATGAAAATTAAATATGCCAGGACTACATCTATGCAGTGTCAACAACCTAAAACATGAAATCTATGCCTAATCTAGACCCACACATTTTCCTTAGAATTCCTCTCTTTACAGCTATCACGGCCCAACCATTCTGAGAAAGTCTAAGTAGTTTCCTATGTTAATTCTGTGGTCCCTCTCCAGTCATACATTCACCACACACAGCATTAGAAGTCAACTCAAGTTCTTGTTATCAATCATTGGACATATGTGTATCTAGAGGGTCTCAATATTAGATACTTAACTAGGTTTCGCCTTTAGTTACTATTGAAAAGGATTTTTTTATTTCAAAGGAGGTGTTATGAAAACTGCAAAACGAAAAACAAGAGAGTTGGCAAAAATACAGGGATATTATGAAACTCATTAACACAAAGAATCTAATTAAAACAGTGGAGAGCTTTTCATTGCCAAAGAATTAACCATTTCCTTAATACATAGTGGGTGAGAGGTTGTAACATCCAACAGATGATCTAGAAGAATATTTTTTTTTCCAATATGAGAAACAAAATCATTTGGAACATCCATTATTTTTAAAACACACTAGGAATCCAAACAGCACAGAAAAGTGTTGTGCTGTGCCCTGGTGGACAAATGCAAATAATTAACTTCTATTCTGTTCAGTTCAAATAGCCCATTTATGAAGTTTGCCTTTTTTACTTAGTGTGAATTGAGTACAAAAATATCACAAACTTTCCAGTCTTTAAAATTTATGTTTAGACATTTGTTCAGGGTGGGGGTGTTTCACCTTATGACAGCAGTTATCATGGCCATCTGCAACTCAGTGTAGCTTAACCAAATGCCATGAGGTTGAGGATGGGGCGGTTCTGCTCACTCTTTGGATCATAATCTGCTGTGTTTCACTGTAATTTCTTTCAGTCTGAAATGCTTTAGTTGTAAAATGCAAGTAGAGTTGGGAGAATGAGATCACAAATAAGTAACTGTCAGAAGGGCAGTTCATGAAAAACATACAACTTATAAAACTTTGTATACTTATATAGTGCATTGTAAATAGTGCCTTATACAAGGCATTGTAAACTTATATTGCATTGTTTAATGCACTGAATTTTGGCTAAGTGAAAACTACCAACTAACATTAAAGTCCTCTCCTATGAGTGACTGAACCAGCTCTACCATTTTGAGAAATAACACAGAAGAACCTTACAGCTGAGTTACTGTTAACAGACATATTTCCTATTCTGGACAAAGTACTTTATGTTCTTGTTGATCGTTCAGACTCACAGAAATGAGGACTGCACTTTATTTTTTAAAGAAGCTTAGGAGGGTATAGAATACCTTAGATGAGGTACTTTGCCAACACAATCATGTAGGTTTTGGGAAAATAAACTAGTACTGTTACCCCTCAATATATATATTTAGAACTATTGCACCACACTGGACAAAAGAAACAGATCCAGTTCCTGCACTGTTCACTGTGGACACAGAGTTCGGGTCCTAGTCATGTCATCTTTTAGGGGCAATTTGTTTTCCAGCTAGGACAGCACCAAACTAGCAGATCTTCTTTGAAGGATCTATAGAGCAGATGACATGCCCATTATCCTCAGAGAGATTGGCTTTGACACCTTAACATGTAGGCAATTCAATATTACTCAAGAGAAACCAGCTAACTTCAGTAAGGCAATCAATAAGGCAATAACACAGCCAGATCTTTTACAACACCAAGACATATATGCTGACTGTGACGGACAACTTGTGTCAGTGGTAGGAGCTTTCATAGCTATGTCAAAACTGGAACAGATAGTGCATATTTAAGTACCAGGCTTACTTAAAGTATAGAGTATGTTATTCTAGCTCAACACCTTCTGACTAAAAGGTGGTTGGTTAAGAAGCTTAGTGATTGAAAACAGCTCCTTTTGTCTTTAGAATTCTGCTTCTTTCCTTCATGCATATTGACTTATTGAAAAGTCCAGATGGTTACTATCCACTTGGAAAAGTCAGCTCAAACAAATTTTAAAATCCGTTTTGAAATATCATATTCACCAACTGTTTTGTTGGTGAAATGAAAGCCCAATTTGAGAGTTAGAAAAAGAAACTAATACTTTTTCTCAATGGGAGAAAATATATAAGCACATTAATATTATGGGAACGAAAATTAATGCATGAGAGTTCTCATCCTTAAATCCCAGAGAGATTGTCTTTGTTCTTTCACTTCAAACTTGCAAGTGAAGGTAAAATCTGATGTAGACAGACTTGCAGCTACATGTTTGTCTGATTTAAAGCCTGAATAAGTTCAAGATACAGCTGTTATTCACTGATATTGGGTAGAATGATTTACTAGTCTATATTTAGTCCTCTAAATTATCATTCTTCTTGACACTTTGCTACTTCTGTTTTGTTTTGGTTCTATTTCCTAGATGAATCATGTTGTGATACTTAATAATTGTCAAATTGAAAGAAATTTTGCAATTTTGGGACCA